AAAAAAACCATGAAGTCTCCAGCGATAATAAGCGAGAACAGGTTCTTTGGAAGCATTACAAGTTCTTCGATTAGAAACTTGCTTCCCAGATCCATCTCAGCCAAACACAAACCCAGATCCAACCAAGAGAACGCCATTCCTCTCGATCCAAACATACACGCTCATGAAACCAAGGATGGTCAAACCCTAGCGAAACTCCAAGAGCATATTGAGGTAGTTCCAGAGCCTAATCAATTTCTAAATTAGTTCGATTTCAGTGTCAGTGTCATGCCCTTTTCGATTCTAGAATTCTCCGTTGTAGTTGCTTTAGTATCAGAATAGTTTCTTACTAATTACGGATTTTTTTTAACAGGACAAGAAAATCGGACCAATCCCTCTTTCTCAAGACAAGCAAAATCTCGAGAATTCAACATTAATCAAGGTCAAATTTCTTGTCTGTCCATATAGTGAATCGTCCTCTGAACTTCTGTTTCAATCTCTTGACTTTTTTTTGGGTTCAAATTGAGTCAGGTCGAAGCCACGAGTGTACTCTCTGGAAGAAGAACCAATTCAGTTCCTTGTGAAATCACAGAGGAAGAAGATGACCAATTGGGCGACCAGATTCGACAACTAAAGGTCTTGTTTGTTTTTGTCACGTAGCTGCAAGTATCCCCCCCCCCCATTGCGTATTTGATGTGAGTCTATATATATTCTGACATTGATGTATTCAATTGCGTGTGTTTTGGTTACAGGAACAACTTATAAGAACAAAGTCTGATGGGTACAAACCTGATGGAAGTAAGACTGGACACTTTGCGCGTGACAGTTTGAGTCAACTGAGACTCAGTATCAACAAATCTTTACTCATGTCGCACAACAAAAAAGACGAATCCGAGGCGAAAGAGATGAATGTAGATCATTACGATGATGTGCTCGAATTGAATAAACATATTGAGAAGTTTCATGGCTCTTGTGATTCTGTTCACTCCTCATTTGCAAGTGCTTCATGCTGTGAAGCAGACTCGATGAGTGGAGATGATGATATCTGCTCAGAAACCTCGGAGAAACCTACGCATAGACGCCTTAAAGATGTTGACTTTGTAGATGATGATCCAAGCCAGATTGACAATGTGGGATTCGATACAGCTGGTAGTGGCATTTCAATCCGTTCACAGCTTCCTACATGCATTCTAGAAGAGCCAATTTTCTCAGAATCTCCTAAAATTAAGAATGTTCAGAAGAGCATTGCTGCATCGACAAAGTTTCTAGCAAGTCCAAGGAACGTGTCTGAGAGCACCACCATTGGAAACATGAAGGTTGATCAAGTTAGCCCTTCTATGTCAAAGAAGCTTTCAGGTCCTACAGATTCTCTAGCTGCTAGTCTTCAGAGAGGACTGCAGATTATAGACTATCATCAACGGAGCTCACTGTCAAAAAGTTCTTCTGTTTCCTTCTCTTTTGGTCATAGTGCATTGAAACCTTGTGCAGAAGCTGATCACCTTTATGCTTCAGTTCAATCGTCAAGAAAAGATAAACATCTAGAAAGTGGATTATCGTCGATTCTCTTATGTCTTTCATGCAGAAAGAAACTTGACCATGAGGATGATGTATGTCTACAAAACCCGAGATATTTGCTTACATTCACTATAACTTTAGTTTTGGTAATTCTATTTGGCAACTTATCTTAAACTCTCTTCTATATCAGGCAACAGAAGAAGCTGGTTCAAATGAAAAACATCTCAAGAACTTGTGTATGGAGCAAGCAACCAAAATTGAGGAGTTAACTCGCCTGGTAAAAATCTTCTAAACTTATTAGAATATCCGGTGTTAAAAGCTTGAATCTGATTTTCTCAGAAATTGGTTTTGATAAGCAATATAGCAACGAAGCCGTTGAGAAGCCAAGGAGGCTGAAGCAGCCATTTGCTTTTTGTTGATGTTTTTTTACCAAAAATGGCCGTCCAAATTGAATTAACTGTGTTGTGGCCTTGTTTGCAGCTTAGTAAATCAGGTGATGGAGCAGATGGAACAGACGTCATGAAAGAAACATATGAGACGAAACAAGTTAGCAAAGAGTTTGGAAACACAACCTTTGATGTAAGTGAAAAGGAAGCTCTTCTCAAGGAGATTGCAGAGCTAAAGAGCAAGCTGAAACCTACCAAGTCTGCAGATAATCTGAGATCCTCTCTGCTACTACGTTCTATTCAAATGTGCAAAAGCATTGATGTTACCAAGAACGCTGAGAACAGTGATGTCCTAGAGAAAGAGCGGGAAATGTGGACAGAAATGGAAAGTGAGTGGATATCATTAACAGATGATCTCAGAATGGATATTGATAACCATCGCAGGCACGCAGAGAATCTAGAGATTGAGCTCAAACAAGAGAAGTTAGCCACTGAAGAGTTGAATGATGCGCTCACTAGAGCTGTTCTTGGCCACACTAGATTCATAGAGCAGTACACAGAGCTGCAGGAGAAGTACAATGAACTTGGGGAGAAGCACGGTGTGATGATGGCTGGAATAACAGATGTAAAGAAAGCAGCATCAAAGGCCGCTATGAACGGTCGGCATGGAAAGCGTTTCGCCAAAGCCTTTTCAGCTGAGCTTTCTGCCATCAGAGCTGAGAAGGAGAAAGAAAGAGAGTTCTTGAAGAAGGAGAACAAGAGCCTAAGAACTCAGCTTCGAGATACAGCGGAAGCTGTCCAAGCTGCTGGTGAATTACTTGTCAGACTTAGAGAATCTGAACAAGCCTTACAAGTCTATGAGGTAACTAAATCAAACTCTTGCCTCAGCCGATATAGGAGAACCATAAAGAAATTTGGTTTTATGAAATGGCTAAACTTGAATTGAAACCATCATTGCAGGAACGATTCAACGTGGTGGAAGAAGAGAAAGAGAGGCTGAAGAACCAAATGGAGCAGCTAAAGAGCAAACACAAGACAGAAATGGGGACAATGAAGCAATACTTAGCAGAGAGTAAATTACCAGGATCTGCATTGTTGCAGCAGCCATGGTACAAGGAGGAGGAAGAAGAAGAACAAGTATCATCAGACTATCGAAGAAGCGGAGCTGTGAGTTTTGATGACTACGATGATGATCAGGCTTGGAGAGCAGAGTTTGGAGCCATATATCAAGACCACCATTACTGATTGTTTCGAAGTCCTTTGTTTCAGACAACAATAGACCCTTCTCGGGTCATTTTACTTGTGTGTTCCTGTCTTTATCATGTTGTTCTCTTGTATCTGCCATTGTTAAACAGCAACAAACACCTGTAACGGTTGGAAATCATTCTATTCATGTATGTGATTCATCTTTCTTTTGTTTTTGAGGCTTCAAATAAGGATTAACGTTCAGTATAAAGCAATTTGGACTAAATTATCAAGAGAAAATTAGTTTATGGTTACAATTACAAATTCAGTAAAATATAGCTCCTTTTTTGTCATCGTGTCTTGTCAGTGGGCTCTTACTGGACCTGTATACATACGAGGCCGAAAGCCGAAACCAAAAACGACGTCGTTTAGCGCACGCAAAGCAAGCTTCGTCTTCTTCTGGGGAAAATATCTGTTTTTTTTTTCCTCTTCTTGACGCTCTATCAGAAGGATATTTCCAGATTAGGTTTATAGCGCAAAGTAGCTTCAGCTTTCAAGTTTTTCTTTTTAGCTATGGCGGCGAACGATTCTTCTAATGCTATTGACATCGACGGTAATCTCGACTCCGATTCGAACCTTCACACTGACGGTGACGATGCGACCGATAATGGTTCCTCGAAGGCATTGGCTATTCCTGCTCCCGCCGTTTGTCTTTTCCGATTCGCTGGAGATGCTGCCGGCGGCGCCGTCATGGGATCTATCTTCGGATATGGTTCGGT